CAGTACACCTCCAGCGGCGAGCAAACCACTCACGCAGCTCCTGTGGAGAGAGTGGCTCCCGCCGAGACGAAACACCCGGAGAACCTCCAGGCCCAGCACCGCCAGAAGCCACACGGGGAGGTCCAGTGGCCGCAGGCTCCACACCTCCAGGCTCAGCAGCTCCAGACGCAGCACCCCCAGGCTCAGCACCCCTAGGCTCAGAACCCACGCGCGCAGCACCCCAAGAGTCAGCACCCCCAGGCTCAGCACCCCCAGGCTCAGAACCCCCAGAGGCAGCACCCCCAGGCTCAGCACCTCCAGGCTCAGCACCCCCAGACTCAGCACCCCCAGAGTCAGCACCCCCAGGCTCAGCACCCCCAGGCTCAGCACCCCCACCAGTACCTGAGTCACCAGCAACCTCGACCGGCTCGACTGCATCTACCTGGGACACACCTGAAGGGACAGGACCGTGAGGGGGAAGGGGGTCTACCGGGGGGGGACCTGGCACAAGGAAGTGAGGTGGCGGCGGGAGGGAAGGAGTGCGGTAGGGGAAGAGGCGGTAGAAGGGGACGGACTCGTCGAACGTGACGTCCTGGGAGGACAGAATACGACGAGAGGAGGGGTGGTAGAACTGCCACCCTGGGGCGTCAGGGGGGAAGCCTAGGAAGACACAGGGAGCTGCAAGAGGGGACAGCTTGTCCGCAGATAGGTTGCGGACAAACGCCCGAGATCCCCAGACACGGAACGCAGACGCATCGCCGACCTTCCCCGTCCATAGCAGAGCTGGGGAGGTCTCCGGCCGGGAGACCCTGGGGTGAAGGTTGAGCTGATGCGCCGCGTACTGAACCGCAAACGGCCACGGATAATGGGGGCCAGCCGCATGCATCATGGACGTACGAGCGACGTCCATGACCATGCCAATGCGGCGCTCAGCAATCCCATTTTGCTGTGGAGAGTCCGGAAGCGTGAAGGTTTTGCGGATGCCTCGTGCACGACAGTAGGCTCTCAGAAGGCCAGAGGAGAACTCTCCGCCTCGGTCAGAGTGCAGACGCAGAACAGGAAAGTCCGAGCCGAAGCTTCTCCTGAGCTGGAGACGAGCTGCGCGGATCCAGTCGATCAACACCTCAGTGACATCACCCTTGCTGCGCAAGGGGAAGACCGTGGTGTAACGCGAGTAGTCGTCAACCACCAGCAGGAAGTAGCGCTCGTGACTCTGTCCACGGACGCGGGCCGGGCCCCACACGTCCATGTGAAGCGTCCGCAGAGGAGCCTCTATCGGGGGAAAATGGGAGGAGTGAGGGGTAGCCCGGAGCCGCCCCTCGACACAGGGGACACAGGAAGGTCCTGGCCCCGAAGGAAGGGGAGGGAGAGACCGGGGGAGACCAGAGACAAGGACACGGGAAGCCATGCCCCGAAGACGAGGCAAGGAGGGGTGGCCAAGACGGTGGTGCCACAAGAGAGTCTCGTGAGACAGGAGGCGACACGAACAGGGGGCAGACTCAGGACCAGACCTGGACGCAGCAGCAAACACCTGACCCGACGCAGCTACCTGGCCAGACGCAGGGACTGGAGGAGACTCAGTGGTCAGGGTGTAGAGACTCAACCCGGGCCGACGCGAAAACGTGGCTAGGTGTCTGCCTGTGCGGGCGTCCGAGCAGTGGGTCCCCCGCTGACTCGCAGGAGTAAACTGGTGAACCCCCGCATCCTGCAGGTCAGCACCACTCACCAAGTTCGTCGAGAACGAGGGGAGGTACAGACCCGACAGGGTGCCCGAGGGGGCAGCCGGACACGGGAGGACAGTGGAGAAGTGAGCGAGGACAGGACCCCCAGAGGGGTCAGCCAGGGAGACTGCAACCGGCCGACCAAGCGGCGTGAGTGTGGTGCGGTCTCGAAAGAAGGAGCGAGAAGCCCCTGAGTCAAGTGTGAAGGTGAGGGAGGCCGAAGCCGACGCAGTACCTGAGTGCGCAGCCTCACCAGTACCTGAGAGTGCAGACGCACTGGCACCTAGAGAAGTAGCCTCACAAGCACCTAGCGCAGCAGTACCAATGCCCGGGTCGGGTGGGAAACACCGGTAACAGTCACCCTCATCAGTAATGGTCACAGCATACATGGCAGCAAGGATAGCATCAAAGTCAAGATCAAAGATCGCTACGCCAGCCCTAGACAGCTCTCCCCAGCGGGGAATCTCACTAGCCTCGGGGAACTGCTGACGCCAAGCGTCCGTCAGGCAGCCAAAGCAGCGCTGGGTGGAGTGGGCACCCCCACACTGCTCACCCGCGCGGTCGCCTGAACGAAGAACGTAGGTGCACGGGCCAAGACCCCCACCACGCTGACGCTGCGTGTACCACTCACGGAGCTGCTGAGGCGGGGGGATGTCCCGAGAACGCTGCTGCTGCTGCTGCTGGCGCTGACCACCACCAGAGCCGCTCCGCTGGGGGGCACTACCCCGACTGGCTCCACCTCCTGCGCCACCGCCGCCTCCATCTCCGCCACCACCGCCGCCTCCGCCCCCACCGCCGCCGCCGCCACCGCCGCCGCCTCCGCTGCCGCCACCACCACCACCACCCCCACCACCACTCCCACCGCCACCCCCACTCCCTCCGCCACCGCCACTGCCACCTCCACCGCCCCCGCCAGCTCCACCTGCGCCCTTTCCCCCCTTGCCCTTGCCAGGGCGGCGTCTCCCGCTAGGGGCAGACGCCGCGGCGACCGACTCAAGACCAAGCAGATGGGCAGCAGTAGCAGAGGCAACAGAGGGCAGCAGGGGGGAAGGAGAACACCCCTCAAAGATGGGGGTGCACGGGTCACCACGAGAGGCTCCTACAGCGACTATGCTCTTCTCCGCCGCTAGGAGGGCCTTCTTGAGGAGGTCGACAGTGAGGGTGGTGGGACAGACTGAGACGAAGTGGTCCCTGACTACGCGAAGGGAGTCAGGGAGGCGAGTGACTATGTAATAGAGAGCGATGTACATGGGGGGGGGGGGTTCTTGGCGCAGAACTCAGCAGGAAGTGCGACGCGGTAGCGAGTGTCAGAAGTGCGGAGGTGCGTGATGAGGTCAGCGACTGTAGGAAAGGCAGCAAGGTCAGGAAAGAGGTACGGTAGCATGAGGCGGCTCAGTGCAGCAGTGGCAGGTTAAGAGTAGCGCGCAACTACAGCGTCGTACAAGGTCTGAGCACTCTTGTACTGACTAAAGTGCGCGCGCTCAGTGGTAGGCAGGTGGCGACGCACTGCAAGACGTGCAACAGCATCGCGGGTGGCCCAGTGAGAGCGAACAGTGGGGTCAGCATCAGCAGCAGGAGCAGGGGAGGCGCCTGAGGTGAGGTCAAAGAGAGAAAGACCGTCCGCCCTATCGCACTGTAAAAACAACTGCAGGTCGTCGACCCAGACCTCAAAGTCAATGGCTCGACCCTCAGCGTCAAAAGCGAGGACACTAGGGGTAGCCATGACGACAGACTAGCAGTGCAAGCAGTGGGGGAAGGGCACGCAGTAGCAGTGGGGCTGTGCTCACCAGACAGGGCAGGTCGGGCGGCTCGGCAGTAGTGCGGCTCGGCTGCGGGGCGGCTCGGCGGTACTGCGGCTCGGCGGCTCGGCGGCGGCTGTTGGGCGGCTCGGCTGTACTGCGGCTCGGCGGCCCGGCGGTTGGCGGCTGCTGCTGGGCGGCTCGGCTGAACTGCGGCTCGGCAGCCAGACGGCCCGGCTGCTGCTGCTGGGCGGCTCGGCTGCTCCGGTACCGGGCGGCGTGGCGGGCGGCTGCTCGGGCGGCTCGGCAGGAGGGGAGACCGGCGGGGCCGCGAAGGTGTGGGCGGCGAGGCCGTGACGTGAGGGCGGCGGGGCCGCGTAGGAGAAGGCGGCGGGGCCGCGTAGGTGAGGGCGGCGGGGCCGCGAAGGTGAGGCGGCGGGGCCGCGAAGGTGAGGCGGAGGGGCCGCTACGTGAGGGCGGCGGGGCCGCGACGTAAGGGCGGCGGGGTCGCGTAGGTAAGGGCGGCGGGGCCGCGTAGGTAAGGGCGGCGGGCCGTGTAGGTAAGGTCGGCGGGGCCGCGAAGGTGAGGGCGGCGGGGCCGCGAAGGTGAGGGCGGCGAGGCCGCGAAGGTGAGGCGGCGGGGCCGCGACGTGACGGGGCCGCGACGTGAGGGCGGCGGGGCCGCGACGTGAGGGCGGCGGGGCCGCGACGTGAGGGCGGCGGGGCCGCGACGTGAGGGCGGCGGGGCCGCGACGTGAGGGCGGCGGGGCCGCGACGTGAGGGCGGCGGGGCTGCGACGTAAGGGCGGCGGGGCCGCGTAGGTAAGGGCGGCGGGGCCGCGTAGGTAAGGGCGGCGGGGCCGCGTAGGTAAGGGCGACACGGAGGGTCGCTAAAAAAAAAAAAAAAAAAAAAAAAAAAGGGAACGCGCGACTCGGGGCGCGCTTCGGTGGGCCCTGGGAACTGTCCCTAGGAGGGGACCTGCTATGGTTCCATGTGAAAGAGTGAACGCGAATGAATCAACTATGAATGAAGTGGGTACAAGTACTAACCCTAATTGGGTTGTACCCCCTATGGGATACCCCACTATAGCCTACACAAAAGCATAAGCTATAATGTTCTGACAATTTCCCTCACTGCTTCACCTCATTTCCCTCACTGATTCACCTCATTTCCCTCACTGCTTCACCTCATTTCCCTCCCTGCTTTACCTCATTTCCCTCACTGCTTCACCTCATTTCCCTCACTGCTTCACCGCATTTCCCTCCCTGCTTCACCTCATTTCCCTCACTGATTCACCTCATTTTCCTCCCTGCTTCACCTCATTTCCCTCCCTGCTTCACCTCATTTCCCTCACTGCTTCACCTCATTTCCCCCCCTGCTTCACCTCATTTCCCTCCGTGCTTCACCTCATTTCCCTCACTACTTCACCTCATTTCCCTCCCTGCTTCACCTCATTTCCCTCACTGCTTCACCTCATTTCCCTCCCTGCTTCACCGCATTTCCCTCACTGCTTCACCTCATTTCCCTCACTGCTTCACCTCATTTCCCTCACTGGTTCACCTCATTTCCCTCCCTGCTTCACCTCATTTCCCTCACTGCTCCATGACATGAAAGGGAAGGTTTGAGAAGGGATGGAGAAGGGAAGGGCAGGGCAGGGAGGGAAAGGCAGGGATGGGGAGGGCAGGTGGGAACATGGGTGGGTGTGAGGGGAAGGAGGGCTGAGGGTGGTGGGGAGGAGAGTGCGAGTGCGAGAGGACGGAGAGAGAGAGTGCGAGAGGACTGAGAGGTGTGAGTGCGGGAGGAAGGAGAATGAGAGTGATGGGAGGCAGCAGGGGGGGAAGGAGGGAAGGGGATGGGGGGAAGCAGGGAAGGGGATGGGGGGAAGCAGGGAAAGGGACGAGGGGAAGCAGGGAGGGGGATGAGGGGAAGCAGGGAAGGGGATGGGGGGAAGCAGGGAAGGGGATTGGGGGAAGCACGGGACGGGATGGGGGGAAGCAAGGGAGGGGATGGGGTGAAGCAGGGAAAGGGAAGGGGGGAAGCAGGGAAGGGGATGGGGGGAAGCAGGGAGGGGGATGGGGGGAAGCAGGGCAGGGGATGGGGGAAAGTAGGGAAGGGGATGGGGGAAAGCAGGGAAGGGGATGGGGGAAAGCAGGGGAGGGGATGAGGGGAAGCAGGGAAGGGGATGGGGGGAAGCAGGGAAGGGGATGGGGGGAAGCAGGGAAGGGGATGGGGTGAAGCAGGGAAGGGGATGGGAGGAAGCAAGGGAGGGGATGGGGGGAAGAAGGGAAGGGGATGGGGGGAAACAGGGAGGGGGATGGGGGGAAGAAGGGGAGGGGATGGGGGGAAGCAGGGAAGGGGATGGGGTGAAGCAGGGAAGGGGATGGGGGGAAGCAGGGAAGGGGATGGGGGGAAGCAGGGAAGCGGATGGGGGGAAGCAGGGAAGGGGATGGGGGGAAGCACGGGACGGGATGGGGGGAAGCAGGGGAGGGGATGGGGTGAAGCAGGGAAAGGGAAGGGGGGAAGCAGGGAAGGAGATGGGGGGAAGCAGGGAGGGGGATGGGGGGAAGCAGGGCAAGGGGTGGGGGGAAGCAGGGAGGGGGATGGGGGGAAGTAGGGCAGGGGATGAGGGGAAGCAGGGAAGGGGATGGGGGAAAGCAGGGGAGGGGATGAGGGGAAGCAGGGAAGGGGATGAGGGGAAGCAGGGAAGGGGATGGGGGGAAGCAGGGAAGGGGATGGGGGGAAGCAGGGAAGGGGATGGGGGGAAGGAGGGAAGGGGATGGGGTGAAGCAGGAAAGGGGATGGGAGGAAGCAGGGGAGGGGATGGGGGGAAGAAGGGAAGTGGATGGGGGGAAACAGGGAGGGGGATGGGGGGAAGCAGGGGAGGGGATGGGGGGAAGCAGGGAAGGGGATGGGGTGAAGCAGGGAAGGGGATGGGGGGAAGCAGGGAAAGGGATGGGGGGAAGCAGGGAAGCGGATGGGGGGAAGCAGGGAAGGGGATGGGGGGAAGCACGGGACGGGATGGGGGGAAGCAGGGGAGGGGATGGGGTGAAGCAGGGAAAGGGAAGGGGGGAAGCAGGGAAGGGGATGGGGGGAAGCAGGGAGGGGGATGGGGGGAAGCAGGGCAGGGGATGGGGGAAAGTAGGGAAGGGGATGGAGGGAAGCAGGGAAGAGGATGGGGGAAAGCAAGGGAGGGGACGAGGGGAAGCAAGGAAGGGGATGAGGGGAAGCAGGGAAGGGGATGGGGGGAAGTAGGGAAGGGGATGGGGGGAAGCAGGGAAGGGGATGGGGGGAAGCAGGGCAGGGGATACGGGGTAAGAGGGGATAGGATGGGGGGAAGCACGGCAGGGGATACGGGGAAACAAGGAAGAGGATGGGGGGAACGGGGGCAGACGCCGGGGAGAGAGCTGGGGGGAGGATGGTGGGGAGCAGAGAGGGAATCAAAACGCTGTTCGATTGTGGTGGCGGAAGCGACCACCTCTGTTTCTCCCCATCTGTTCCTCCCCATCTGTTCCTCCCCATCTATCCCACCCCTTCGGAAGGAATGAGGGAGGAAGGATGGGCTGGAGATGGTGAGATGGGGAGAGGGGAAGAGCGGATGGAAACGCGGATGACAAGGGGAAGCGCGAGTGACTGGGAGGCAAGCCCGACGACGGGACGCGCGGGCGACGAGGGGAGGCGAGGGCGGCGAGGGTCGGCACGGGTGATGAGGGGAAGCGCGAGCGACGAGAGGGAATGTCGGTGACCAAGGGAGGTGAGGGCGGCGAGGATCGGTGTGGGTCGACGAGGGTGATGAGGGGAGCGCGGGTGACGATCTGAAGCGCGGTATGTTTACTACTAGCAATTGCAACGAGGGGATGTGTGGTTAACGTGGGAGAGCGTGGGCAACTACGGGAACATATGTGACCAGAGGGTCGGGGAGGGTAATGAGGGAAAGCGCGGGCGACGAGGAAAGCGGTCTGACGTGGGCAAGAGCGGCCGACGAGGAGGAACATGTGCGACAAACGGCTGAGTGCGTTACGCGAACCAGTACGGCATTCGCGTGAGCGACCCGTGCCTAAAACGGTACGATCGTGACACGAGGCTGAATGGCGGCAAGTATGACAAGATCCTGCGTGTGCGACGCGAGCTTGAATGCAAGACTCGAGTAACGCGAATCTCGTTTACTAACGTAAGTGCCGTGGGTGTACGGGTTGTAACATGAGACCGGTGACGTGAGGGAGAGATTAGAGCGTGCACTGACTAAGATGGTTGAGGTGGACTTATATTTCCTTCCGCACAGAAAAAAACACCTATCAACGAGTCGCTTTTGCCAACTAGCGCTAGTTCTTGCCTTGGAGCCTCCTAGCCTATGAGTACTACTTGGTAAACAAGTTATGTGAGTGGCGAATAATACAAATGGTTGGGGATCATCGCGTCAGTTCTGGTTTTGGGCACTCGGGTTCTGTTGTCGCAGGACGATTGCCTGGGGTCGCGAGAATTTTCTCAAACAAGTAGGGTAACCCTGTTATTGGCGACTTCAAGTTCAAGAATCTTGAACTTGAAAATTACTATGCTGTACCCGGGCTTTAAGTCACATGAATAATTTTCATGAGGCTTCATGGTTCATCACATTTCGCAACGAAAAATTGCTCCGAAGTCTGATTATGCACTGGTTGGTTGTGTCTAGTATTAACAGTTTACAGTCTGATTAGATTATTCACATTTGTTTGACATATGTAGAACAATCATGATGTATCCATGATCATTTGTAGTTGTAGATGGTGTATGCCGGATATCTATAGTGCTAAAGCGATTGCTAATTGTGATGCGTATATCAAAGCATCCCTGAGCTCACATGATTGCGATTGCGCTTTTGTCGATGCACCAGGCGCAGCCGCTAGCTTGATAAGAGATCGACGGCTAAGCATTGTTTCAAATTCCATGGACTTCTCGATTAGTGTTTGCCCCTGCTGACGCACAGTCTCTTGGAGATTGCGTTTTGTTTTGGTTTGGCGCTATTCGTCTAGAACTCCACGTGTCGTGTCGCTTGTTGACAGCGCATAGCTGAAGCCTTCCAGCGTCGCAGCGCGTTGAGCTTCATGCGAGCATTGGTTCCTCATGCTACTCGCGCACTCCCGAATGCGCCACCTGGCCTGAGACTCCCAAGGCTTCGTGAAAGCTCAAATTGGTAAGGATATCGAAGATCATGACATCCTGAAATTTGCTCTCGCTCTTCTGGTCTTGCTGCCTTCCAGCCGCAGCTCCTCGCTTCTGCTGCACTGCTAGAGCAACTCAATCAGGCCTTCCCCACTTTACCATGGCCGCTGTCTCCACGTCCTCCGCTGTGAAGGCTTCGTGCCTCGCTGCAACTTCCGTGAAGTCCGAGTCTCGCAAGGTTGAGAATCTCTCCTTCGCGCGCTCGGTCGGTCAGCGACAGGTTGTTGCTGCTAACGTCGCAAAGAATGTGAAGGCCAAGGTTCAGCCCATCCGCGCCACCGTTGGCATTGAGAAGGAGGTTGCTCTTCCGGAGATCCCACTTACGCTTCTGAGGGAGGGTGAGGTGCGCGACTGGAACAAGCCGGACCCCACCAACTTTCGCCAGCGATTCGAGAGCCTCGTGCTGAACGCTCAAAACCACATTTGCGAGGCCATCGAGAAGGTCGATGGAGCCAAGTTCCGTCGCGACGCGTGGATGAGGTATGCTCTTTCAGATCCAAAATACCTCTGGTTCATCATGCGCTGGGCACGCGATCTGATCGTCGGATCGTTCACAAAGATGAATTCTTTTTTCGGTTGTATCCTCCCGTTGCGCGTGATTCAGGCCTGGTGGCGGCGGTGGCATCTCCGCTGTTCTCCAAAACGGCAATGTGTGGGAGAAGGCTGGGGTGGCCGTGTCTGTGGTGTACGGCACCATGCCTCGCGAGGCCTACCGCGCAGCCACGGGCGAGCCCGCGCCAGGAACCGCCAAGGAGGGCGACAGGATTCCGTTCTTCGCGTGCGGCATCAGCTCCGTGATGCACCCGTGGAACCCCTTCGCGCCTACCATGCACTTCAACTACCGCTACTTCGAGACCGACGCTCCGGAGGGTGCCAAGGACGCTCCCCGCGCTTGGTGGTTCGGCGGCGGCACGGACATCACCCCCTCTTACCTCTTTGAGGAGGACATGAAGCACTTCCACGGGGTCAGTATTCTATTCGCGTTGCTGCCTATTTGTTCAGCTCTCCTCGTCAGCTCCTCGCTCATTACTCACTTGTTGCTAAACTCTGTTGTGGGTTCTGCCTGTTTTGACGTGCGTGTTGGCGGCACGTGCAGACCCAGAAGGCGGCGGTGGAGAAGATCGATCCGGCGCTGTACCCGAAGATGAAGGAGTGGTGCGACGAGTACTTCCTCATCAAGGTACGCCGCTTGTTCGCATGCCCCCCACACGCATGCACACATAACGAACTGTCTATTGTGTAACGAACAATCATCTCGTACATTCTCTGTTTCGAGAGAGGCAAGAGAATTCATATGTTTTTTTCTGTTCTGTGCTTCCACTTTTCTTCCCTCTCCCAGCACCGTGGCGAGCGCCGCGGCTGCGGTGGCATCTTCTACGACGACATGAACGACCGCGACCCCGAGATCCTGTACAACCTGGCCAAGGAGTGCGCGAGCGCCGTGGTGCCGGCGTACGTGCCCATCGTCGAGAAGCGCAAGGACACGCCCTACACCGCGGAGCAGAAGGAGTGGCAGCAGCTGCGGCGCGGGCGGTACGTGGAGTTCAACCTGATCTACGACCGCGGCACCATCTTCGGGCTCAAGACCGGCGGGCGCATCGAGAGCATCCTCATGAGCATGCCGCTTACTGCCCGCTGGGAGTACAACCAAGTACGCCCCATCTACCCCCCCAGCTCTCGTCTCCTCCCCGGTGTATCTTGTAATTTCTCTCCGCTTCTGCCATATGCTGTGCTAACCCTTGTTCCGCCTGTTTCCCGTGTTGTGTGGGCAGGAACCCGCCCCCGGCACCCCCGAGGCGGAGCTGCTCGACGTGTGCAGGCACCCGCGCAACTGGGCATAAACGCGCCAAGCCTCCCGTCGCCTCGGCTGAGGCTTCGGGCGAGAAACAAACGCGATGCGGTGTGCGTGTGGGGGCTGGTGTTGCTGCTGCTGCGGGCGTGCGGCGTGCGACGTCCACTGCAAGGTTGAGTGTCGCCGTCGCTGAGTCTCCTAGCGGCAGCAGCAGCTCGTCCCGTGTCCCACTCCTGCCCGCTGGTGCCTGTCCGCCATGCGCTCTGGAGGCATAATAAAGGCTGCTGCAAGCGGCTTGCTGAGCGTGTTGGCGTGGCGGGATACAAGCGCAGGTGGATGGTGGGACACATCTCAGGCAGGGAAGGGGAATCTGCTGCGGCAGCAGCACTGCCCCTCCGTGTCTATTGCTCTCCCTGGGTATAGGGGTTAGTTGTAGCATAAGACGTACAGTTACCCAGTGATGCTTGCTGGATGGTGTGCGTTTGCCTACGGTAGTATCTGTTCCTCAAATCTCTTGAATATAATGTAATATTTTCCAACGTGTTCTCCAACCAAGCCAAAACAATACCGGTACCAGAAAATCTTAAAACACCATTGATCTCCTCAACCCCCCTACATTCCTCTCCCCCTTGCTGTCCCATTGTCAGTTCTTTTTCCTCTTCTGCACTCTTGTGCATGATATCTTAGATATTCTAATATTTTCCAACGTGTTCTCCAACCAAGCCAAAACAATACCGGTACCAGAAAATCTTAAAACACCATTGATCTCCTCAACCCCCCTACATTCCTCTCCCCCTTGCTGTCCCATTGTCAGTTCTTTTTCCTCTTCTGCACTCTTGTGCATGATATCTTAGATATTCTGATGCCTTGTATAATCTACTGCTGTCTCCTGTCTTGCTGTTTCTTCCAGCCCTTCCCTCTTCCTCCCTCCTCCCCTTTCCCATTTGATTCCCTGGTGCTGTTCACCTGGCGTTCATTCAACTAGTGTACTTCACCCTCCCCTTTCTGGCACAATCTTGGCTAGCAAGGGGGGCCTTGATGGTATGTGGTCTGGTCCTTTCTGAAACGGTGACTGCAACACAGGTGGATTGGGATGGGACACCGAGACGGTTCAGAGAGTAGGTTCGTTCTCGGGTTAGCCCTGTTCTTGTATCATGCACATGGTACAAAAACAGGTATTACGTTACGGGTACTGTGCAACACAGGTACAGATGTTACGGGTGTCAAACTATATATGCTTTATAATTAGGTGTAGGCTGTAGTGGGGTAGCCGATGTAGGGTACAACCCCTTAGGGTTCTCATCCTTGTACCCAACTCACTCGATAGTAAAACCATTTCTAGCTACCTACGGTAATCAACGTAGGGTCTTAGGACCTTAGGACGATTTTTTTTTTTTTTTTTTTTTCGGGCCCACCACCTACCACCTGCCCGTATAGCGCTACCCCGCGCTCTGCCCTGCCCTAGTCCTGCGCGCGCCCCGCGCGTCGCCTCTGCTGGCCCGCGCGCCGCCCGTCAGTAGCCCGCGCGACCCGCCCGTTGTCCGCGCAGCCCGCACGCAACCCATGCTAGCCCGCGCGCCGCCCGCCTGCAGCCCGCGCGCCCCGCGAGCTGCTTGTCGCGCTGCCACGCAGCCCCGTGCGCTCGCCCTGCTGCTGCTGCAGCTGCCTGCCACGCCCTGCGCACGGCCCGCTCTGGTGCCTTGCCGGCCGCCTGTAGCCCTACGCGCCGCCTGCCTCTGCCGCGCCTGCCTGCTACGCCCCGCACGCCACCTGTAGTGCTCCCCTGCAGCCCTGTGCGCCGCCTGCCCTGCTGCCACGACTGCCTGCTGCGCCCTGCCCTAGGCGCCCTGCCCGCGCTGCCCTGCACCCTGCCCGCCTTGTCAGCGCTGCAACCGCTGCTACGCTGCTGCTGCTGCCAGCGCCACACTACCCCGCCGTGCCCGAGCCGCGCCACGCTGCCTAGGGGCGTGGCACTAGGTTGCTACTGCTGCTTCTACTGTTGCT